ATGGCTTCCAGCCACCTATAAGAAAATAACAAAAAACTCGAATGTATTTTTTACCAGATATGATAAACTTTAATAATATGAATAATTATTATAAAATTATGTAATAGTGTTACATTAGTGTCAATATTAATAATTTGCATAGATAAGAAAATAATCAGCAGAAACAAAAATGTAACGAAAATAATGCTCTGTCTATTCGTAGAGATATATGGATAACCAAAGACATATGGATTACCAAAAGAAAATCATTCTGTTACAATGTCACGCATCGATAAGACAAAAATGTTTTTTTTCTCAAACAAATAATCATTCACTGAAATACGCGGAAAATGATATTTCGTTATCGAAGAGAAAATGCCTTGAATCACGCCCGAGCTATCGTGATGAAGGCGAAAAATTCGGCGATTAATGCGACGATTAAACGCAAATCATGAAGTCATGAAATTTTACAGGAATAAATCTTCGTGACGCACGCGAGTCATATCAAACTTATATCCTCGTAAGTCGTCAAAATTGCAATATACCTGCGTAGGTGATGGCAGGGCGGCCATACTTGCATTAAGCACTGGCTTAACCAATCAGACTCTGAATCAATAGCTTATGATATTAACAATTTTGTCTAACATTTCGCAGACTTGATGATATGACTTTTAATCAAAACCTGTAAGACACTCTGATAGACTATTGCAGTTTTAGCCTCTCTAATTGTGAAATTAAAATCGACAAATACACGATGACAAAAGAAATTTTTTAAAGAAACGGTTTATAAGACACGCATCGAATCACAATAGTTTGCCATAAACTATAGTGTCACTTAAAATATATATACAGACTATTATCACAAACTTTTATAGGTGCATCCAGCGATACAACCGCTCATTGGTTGTGTACAGTGAACACACAGTTACACAATAGTTAAATAATTCGTTAAATTTAGAGATCTAACGACCAATTAGAGATCTAAAGACCAATTATCATTACCGAATGTAGGAATATAGGGATGGAGTATAATCTTAATATATGGTTGAAGGGAGTAATCTCAAAAAGGAAAGAGTGTACCCCATTTTTATTGGTCGAATAATGCGCATGCGCAACTCCGCTTAATATAAATTGATTTCTTTCCGCTTAATAACAAGAAGAAAAATGTATGGGGATATTGCGAATATTAATATAAAAAATACGCATAAAAAAAAAAATTTGCGAACATGTATTAGATTGCGGAAGAAAATATCTAATTAAAAAAATGTAAAGATTAAAGAAAAACTTAACAAGAAAGAAGAACTTAATATAAATAATGAAGACAAGTAGAAAAGTTGTAAAGTCTGTACTACAATATGTCCTCCGTCGGTATTGTGACATTGCCGATAAAATCGTATTTTAGTCCGTACTATGTCCACAAACTCTTGATATAGGAAAGAAATATCCGTATATACTCCCGTGTATCATTTTATCTTTGTTTAATATTTGGTAAACAACAAGGATAAAACGATACACGGAGTCATTCGATTGGTGTTTCCGGACGTAGCCCTATAGGGTACTTTCCATTTAGTGTCATAAGTCGACACAAGTATCGTTCTATTTTTCTTGGTTTTCAATAATTAACAAGGACAAAATGATACTTGTGTCGACTTGTGTCACTAAATGGAAAGCATCGTATATTGGAGTGAGCTATCCCTAGGAGAAAAGGACGGGCACACTAAAGTTAGGGAGCATCACGTTGCGATTGACCACAGCCACTCACACTAGGCTGGTGCCTAGAGATTTTTCTCTGTTCAAACACTCTGAGTGGCTAGTGATTAATTGCAACGTGATCAAACGGACCTCATTCCTAAGTTGGAATCTTTATTTCTTTTCTACAGTGTACTTACTGGTTAACCTTATGATAGTAGAATAATATTAACCAATCTGGGAATCTCTCTTGACAAATAGAGCGATTCCAACTCGCACGTTATCTTTTTTTTAGTAAGTGAGACATCCCACTCCTTGAAGGCTCACTCCAGTATACTATTGGCTACGTCAATGTAACACTACAGATGCTCCGAAGCGTTTGATTGTCTAATCAAAACAAAAAATTTTATTGATGCACCAATCAAAAAATGCTTTAAAGCATTTGTAGTAAGACTCTGACCATACCCTATAAAGCTCAATGACATTCACTGATCTACTTAGGGCTGGGGCACACAAAAAAAACTTAAGTAGTAAAATTTAAGCAGTAAGGAAATCAATGTTAGTTCGGTCCACAATAGGTATTTGATCTTTAAGCCGTAAGAAATTGACCTATCATAAGCGAGTATTCTTTTCATATTCGATTGTGATTGGTCAATTTCTTACTTCTTAAATCACCTATAACAGTGTGGACCGACATTTATGAATTTGCTTATGTTACTGCCTTACGTTCTTGACTGTGATTGGCTAATTCGCTTACTGCTTAAATTTTTTTATGTGTCACGGCTCTTTCTCTGCTGAATGCAGCCATTGGTTGATATTTTCTAACCTAATCTATGTACTACTTTATCGAGGAGTTGTGTTAAATAGCTTTTTTTTATAGCTGAATATACTTCTGTGCTTATAGGAAAATAAAAAAAAATCATCGCTTATAATAAGTTATTGTATGAAAGTTATGATTATTTTTAATATCAAGAAATATGCCTCGATTGCCTCGATTATCTCTGCATCCTTCATCTGGGACAGGTATTATTACGCCGTTCAGTAAGGCAATACGGTTTGTTCGTTATGGTTGCACTAATAGACCATTCTATCATATCGTGGTAATAGATGTAAGTATTTATCTTTCAAAAATTTGTAATTATAGATCTACTCTAAGTTTAATTATCAATAGCTCATACGTTTTTAAAATTGGAGAGAGAAAAATCTGTATTAAGGAAAGATAGAACAAAAATATATAACACTTTATTTAGAGCTAAAAAATAAATAATTAATCTATAGGTATCTTTTAATACTTTATTTATATTTTCTTGTATTTTGTTTATATATATCTTATTTACATCTTGTTTAACATTTCATTTGTATTTTCTTATATCTTGTTTATTTATATCTTTTAGGTAAAAAAGCAGCAGAAAAGACCACCAATAGAACAAGTTGGTGTCTATGATCCCATTCCAAATGTGCACAATGAAAAATTAATATCTTTTAATTTTGAAAGATTACAATATTGGATTGCTAAAGGAGCACAGATATCTGTACCTGTTGCAGATATATTAGGACTTGCTGGGTTTTTACCTGTTCATCCAAGAGCATATATGAGAGCATGGAGAAATCGCAGAATTATAAAAGCAACTGCTGCTGAAGAAAGTATATGTCAAGCGCAAACGTCTAAAATATAATTCTTGCATGTAGCAATTTTTGTTTTGTACAATATTCATAACATATTAATAAAATTATTGTGAAGTAGTTAAAAACTATATATAGTGTAATCCATTGTCTACAGTGGGCAGTAGCAATAGTGGAGTTGTAAGCTGTAAGAAATTAATCACAGTTGATAATCCGTCTCACACTCGACTGTGATTGATCAATTTCTTACAGCTTAGAGTCATCCACTATTGCTACTGCTCATTGTAGACCATGTGTAATAAAAAAATGTCTAAATGTAAATATAGTAATGTTTAAACTATCTTAGTTAAAGTTTAAACTATTTTAATTAATAAGTTACAGATTTAAATTTTTACTATAGTATTATTTATGATGTCATAGGGAAGAAATGACATGGAATAATAATTTCCTTGCGATGTATAGCATTATTTTTTAGAAAAAAAACTAAAAGATAAAACTATAAAAATATTTTACTGAAATTGACCCCATTTATTCCATCAATATATGCAGTTTTCGGTAGATTTTATAATATATAAAAATTCAAAAAATTTCAATAGTACTTTCTTTATATTTCAATGGTAACTTCAAAAATTAAAATTTCAATAGTAACTTTCTTTATATTTCACAATATTACCTTGAATGTATAATACGTTATGAACTCGATGAAGAATGAAATAAAAATTATTGAAAAATTACTGAATACATTTTTAAATAAATCTTAATTTTCCTTATGAAATTTAATGTAATACTATGAAATATGTATAAAGTATTAATATATATTCTTAATAAAAAATTTTGAACAATAGTGAAGTCAATTGAGAGAGAATTTCAGCACAAAATATTTTCGTCAGAGATTTGTCATGAGAAAATTGCCGCATGTCATTTCTCACCTATGGCCTTACACATTATGAAGGAACAGGAATATATATTAAATTTTGAAAATAATTAGGAATAAAGATTAAACACAAAATGGACACAAGTAAATATAATATCTATATTTCATACTTATTTGTGTCTATTGTACATTATGTTATATTTAATCTTCTAAGTTTTATTTCCAAAATTTATTCAAATTTATTTTTCGTTTCTTTATTGTGTATAGGACCCACATAAACCAATATAGTTGCAATGAGAGAGCCAAGCCTTAAAAATAAAAAAAAGCAAGTTCCCCAGGTGAGGCTCGAACTCACAACCCCGGCATTGCTCACTGAGAACTGTTTATAAGTACCGTGCGCTAACCGATTGCGCCACTGGGGACTTCAATTTTTAGTTTTCTTATTATATAGACTTGATGGTATATACACATGCATCTATCATACATATGTATGTATTTTATATAAACATGTTTATAAATAAAAAAATTGATTTCGCAAATTTATACTGGAAGTGCTGGATGTACTTAAATATGATACAAAATGTTTAATTTAGATCATTCATCTCACAATTAAATGAATTCTCGGTACAAAATTTTTTATACAAGAACACAAATATATATAAATCTATGTATATATAATAATATAATCTATATAAATATATATATATATATATATATATAAAATTATACACGAAATATGTCCATATATTTACATTAGTTTATATTAGTTTCTTTCTTTTCTAAAATTTCTGATATAAGAAAAATAATAGTAAGACTAATGAGGACATAAAAAAAAATTAATTAGTTAAGATAGATAATTTTCGCATCATGTTTCTTCTACAAAAAGTTAAAAAAAAATTGCAAAATATTGATATATATTTCATACATATACCTTTAATCATAAATATGTATGATTATGGCTGCGGCTTTCGGGGAGCGCGCTATTAGTACTATCACATCATTTCATATTTATTGCTCATCATATGTAAATTAAGGATAGAATAATGCGATAGTTCTAATAACGCGCTTGCGACACCGACATACGATGTATTGTAGAACAAGCTTCCAAGCGCCCGTCTGATGAATTATTTTTAAAAATTAATTAATATTACTCTTGGGGATATCACTCCTTTTCTCAAATTTCTTATTCCTATCCTCTTCCTCACCTTTTTCGGAAATAGGCGTTCGGTCTATTTCTATAGTGTCTGAAATTGCCGCGTCACAAATTTCGCGAGTGAGAGCCGTGCTGCGGCTCGCGTACAAACTATTTCAGATCTTCACCGCCATTCTGCGGCACATTTTAGCGTTAAATCTTTCCGTATTGAAACTGGTCCAACATGATCTGTATTGGCTTCGATGCAACATCGGCCACTAGAAAGGAGAGAAGAAAGAGTAGTAATCCTAACACGCATACGTGAAAAATCGACCCATATAACAACATTGCTATAAAGCCATTTTAAGAAGGAAGAACGTTTGTCGACTTTTAGGACGTGTAGTGCGTATTTTTAAAACACTGTAAAGTACTTAGTGCTTTATGCCAAAAGAAATGAAATAGCATTGAAAAGGAATTTTTTCCATTGCTTCGTTTTCTGGAAGTGGAGTGCAATTGAAGAGTATGCTAATTTTACAAACAATGGATTAAATGGCCGAATATATATTTGAAACCAGTTGAAGACTTTCATCGAACTTTTCTTCTTGTATGACGATTTAAGGGGATTCAGAAACAATGCCTACTGTAGCAAATTCTTCACTCACCTATGAAATTCTTATGTACCTAAACTCTTTTTATTTCGGTATGTTTGCTGTGTGCGAATTGGGCATGGGACTGTTCAAAGCCACAAACATGCCATCGCCAGGTATGAATAAGACTCTAATGGAGTTCGCACTGCTGGTCTTCTTAATAGTGACGGAAAGCGGCAGAATTTATCTAGGAAGAAGGGGAAATCTGACCGAACGTGGACTACCAATTTTCATTGGAATTGTCTTGACCGTTCCCAGCTCACTGGCAACACTTTATTTTCTTCTCTGGCAGTACTATGTACTCAGACTGGAAGTAATCCTTTGCAGTATTCAACTAGCATTACTAGTATCTGAGATGATCATTGCAGTCATGTGCCTTATAGCCATCTACAGACCATCATCCCCAGAAAAATAAATTAATCATTGTTATTTCTCCGATTTTCTAATCATAATAATTTTGTGTGTTAAACATACTTAATAATTCATTCCAAGTTATTGATTTATGAAGACAGAGATCAAAATGTTTACCTTTTGCTTTTTTGGCACAATAAGACTTTTCTTGCTGTATATGATTTTTATTATTATTACCTATATTTAAGAAACAATTTTATGAGATAATATATTATTTTTCTTAAAACAAATGACAAATTTGATTTTGTAATAGCAGTATTGCAAATATTTATTAATAAATCTCAAAAACTGAAAAGATTTTTTAATCAATTTTGATGACTTTTATGATTAATATTGTAAATACTGCTAAATAGTTTTACATTTGAAGATCTATATAAATTCTGTAAAAAAAAGAGGAATCATATGTAATACTACATATTATATTACATATTATCATATATATTATCTGAAGTAAAAAAGAAATTTAGCACATGTTTGTATATATACATGTTTATATCAAAATATTTTTCAAATAATATAATACTTATACCGAAATACATGTAGCATACATTTTCCTTTTGTAATATTATAATGCCAACATTTCTTTCAGCTTACATATATCTTCAAGTATTTATCTGTTCATAAACATGTTACATAGATAATATATATTGATTATGAAACTTATAACATATTTTTCAAAATCCATGCAATCAAGAACTCTCAAAACTATCGAGAATATATTTGCAATGTATGTAATGAGATATTGATTTTACATACTGTGCATGTGCACACACACGCGCGCGTCCACACACACATACACACACACTAAAAATGATTATATGAGAGACAGTCAATACTAGTTGATAGAATTATATCTTAATCTATGGCAATTACAATAAATAGTTGGTAGAAGTTTAAAAATAAAATTATAATCTTCTCTAGATAATACAATTTTTAATGTTTTATATTGTTTGCTGCGGCTCGGCGTCTTCTGATCGCGCGTAATCTATTATTGCAGTAAATTCGTAAAAATACTGAACTAAATACCAATAATATGCCGAATATTCCAACAACAGTAATAGCGTGATGATAGATCAAACATGACAGAAGTATTGCCAAACCCTGTAACAGTATTTATGAAACTATATATTAGAAATTTTATTTCTTTTTCACAGATTAATATTAAATAATTATATACCTGTCGTATAGTCATCATAATGACGAACGTAATGGATCCAAATTTTGAAATCGTATAAAAAATGTACAACTGACCGCTTGCTGAGCATATTGAAATCAGTAAGCAATCAATTATAAACCTGGGATACTACAACATTAAAATAATCAGTGCTATATAAGAAATACTACAAGAAAATAAAATATATTGTAAGTTACCGTCGTCATGAAAGAAAATATCAGCGAAAAACTTGATTGTTGAAATAGAGACATTGCAGTCAGCAAACAAGAAAACATATTAACTGCACACATCATTTGTATACTAGTTACACCATAGTCTACAAAAAGTGCATTTTGCCAGGTACTTGTGAAACTATCTAATAATAAATAGGTTGCAAGTAAAATCAAACCGGAAAGTGTTGTAGCCCCATCTGAAAATGTTTATTAACTCTCTCTAATATTTATGATTATTTACAATTAAAATATATAATAAAGTATTACCATTTTTATGGTCAGAACTATCCAACATAAAAAGTGTCATTCCAATAGAAATAAGAATCGCAGTAACATATTCATAATATTCATATGTTGTATGAGAAACTATTTTTCCCATTATCATGACTGGTATGATTTTAGAAGCTTTAGCTAGAACCTAAAGATATAATTTAATATATAAAATAATTAATAAATCTTCATAAAAATTGTATTAAAGATTAAAGAAATTAATGAATTTAGAAAATTGATTAGAAAACTGTGTGTGTGTGTGTGTATATGTATGCATACGTATAAAATTTTAGTTTTTCACCTGTGATGGAAAACTGACGTATTTTAGGGCTTCGTATTGACACCAACTACTCATGATATTTGATAGAGAACAAAATGCATATTTATATAATGGTGTCTTATGCTGCGGCTGACGTTGAATGAGTAAATATAATCCGGACATCAGGAAGGCAAGAATGCGATTTACAAATACTAAAAATTGCGAATCTTGAAATTGCCCTTTATTACCAGAAGCATCTTCATATTTCTATACAAAAAAAATCATTCATATTTTTAATAAGAAAATTATAGAGCTTTATCAAAATATGATGAAATAGTCAGCACTAATACAGGGCATCTATTCAAATATGAAAAAAAATTTTCTGAGAATTCCCTGAGAATTCTGATTTTGAAGACAAGTTGTTAAAAATAGGTGTATATGTAAATATAAATGTATCTTGTAAAAACACATTTACTGTACAGTCTTTAATATTTTTCATTTATAAAACTTTATAAAATAAAATACATTGAAAAATCATTCTAGTTTCAATAATTAAATTTAAAAAATTGTAAAAAAAATAATAAGAACTCTAAAAAATAAATATTTTATATTGCATAAAATTTTCAAACTTTATTTTTAAAAGTTATAAATAAAAATTATATAATGCACAATTAATAAAATTAAATTTTTATAAAATAGAATAAATAGTAATCGTAAAATGAAACTGATATTTAGAGCATACTGACTTTACAACTATTTCAATATTCAATATTGAAGATAATAATTTCGTGTTAAGTGCAATTTTATTTAATGAAGACGAATATTTTAATAGTTTTATAAAAATTGAATTTGTACTAGTACATTACATAATTTTTTGTTCATAACTTTTGAAAAGAAAATTTAAAAATTTTATATAATTTAAAATAATTATTTTTTGAGTTCTTATAGTATATATATTTAATATCTTTATTTTTAATATCATCTGGAGAATAGAAAAAAGAGTAATACAGAAACAAGGAACAAGGAATACAGAATCACAATCAAATACAGCCAAATTCTATACAATAGCAAACAAATCGCTCTCATCTTTCTCCTGGTAATAATTTTATATTACATTCATTCAAAGGGAGAGGACGAGTTCATGATATAGAATCATCTTATACCGTTAACAAATCAATCAATACATTTCCAATATATGAAGAATATTAAAAAAACAACTTTAAATAAATTCTGATTTTTCATTTTTAAATAAATTCCCTGAAAATTCCAGATTTTCCGGATTTTTTTAAGGTAATAGACACTTTGTAATAATCTCAATACCATAATAGTACGGATATTATATGCATAAATATTATTTTCTTTAATATATATTTCTCAAATTTCTAGAATTTATATTCCAATCAATACCTGTGTCATTATCTTTTCTTGCAAATAGCCCCACGTTAGATAACTAATTTGCAATCCAAAAAAACAATACATCAGGAGCAGGGCATCTTGAGCAAAAGTGCGCTGAACATGAGTGGGTGCATTAGGAGCATAAGTTGGCGAATCTAAAAGACCCGTTTCACAGTATCCCATAAAGCATGAATGCACCAGTCTAGGGATACAACCTTTTCCTGCATAAATATTTTTTTAAAATAATATATCTAAAAACATAATAGATCTGTTCTTTATAAATTAACTAATTCATACTCTATGTACTTAAAGTGAAAAATATATGTTTGAAGTTTGGCAGAAGTTTGAAAAAGAAAATTTTAGTATAATCTAGTATAGCAATAAAAAATAATATTCATATTTTTTTAAACTTACCACCTCTCTGAATATACTTTGTATAACGTACATATTTATATATAAGGCAACCTGGCAATAATACAGTGGCATATCCCAATAAATTCAAGCACAATCGAATAATCCAACCATATGTAGACGCTTTGAGAACCTCCTCTCCATTATTTGTGAACAGTTTAATAACTTCACTGGTTCCAAATATAATGCTGATGGAAAGTAGTAGCAGTACACTACCAAATGTATTCTCTTTAATTGCATTGTGATAAAAACTTGAAAATTAAGTAATGAAATAAAACATAAATTTATATTTATACATGTAAACATAGAAAAAGATATGAGGAATCATGCGACTATCTCTCTAACTAATGTCCAATTATCTTGTTGAATCAGCGAATAGAAATAAAAAATGAAAAGGAATGAAGAAAGGATTGATGTCGGCAATTGCTTTTACGCTTCTGACAAAATCGGAATTGGGATGTACCATATCACGATGTCACCCACAAAGTTTCCCATACTCCTCGCGGATGAGAAACTTCGACGATGGTACCAATTATCCCATAACCTTCGTTATGAACTTCTTGCCTAGCTAAACATAAACAGGTTTAGAGAAATCTCCACAGATCATGCATTATGTTATACACTATAAATAATTATCATTAGAATTGTAATTAATCTTATTCCTGCCCTATTCTGACTTTACCACGGGCATTGTGTTTCCAATCTTCATCATAAGTGAAACATGCGGCATATTATATATATATATATATATATATATATATATATATATAAGAGAGAGAGAGAGAGAGAGAGAGAGAGAGAGATATATATATATATATATATATATATATAGTAGTATATAATAAGATAAAAAAAGAAAGAGAAGAGAAGGAGAAGAGAGAGAGAGACATATAGTATGATACAGTACACATACTTGCAACTTATGACACGTATCAAAAAGAAGACATCAGGGGCGAATCAAGTCTTCTAGCCAGAAGTACTGCATTTCATGAAAAAGTTTTACTTACACATTTATTTACATACTAATTAATCAAAATGTAAACAAAATGTTAACAGTATAATTGTATTCTGACAACAGATCTGTCTAAGCGTACTGCAATAGATTGACAATTGCGTCCGCATTAAACTTGTATTCCGTTCGTAGGGGGTCAATTGTGTCAACTTTCTTCACTTCTCGCATTTTCATCACATGAAAAAATACATGCGATTGGCTATGGTCAAAGTGAAAATGTGATATTTCTGTACACGGGAACATTATGGCGCCGTCCCATGATGCGAAATGTATGCGCAATGTATGCGGACTTGACGAAACGCTTGTGATTGATTCAATCTGTTTTACGTTTGTTCCGCCAATTTTTATCCGCAAGTTTTTATTTTATTCGTATTGATTGAACGGAATTACTTGTGAGCTTGTATGCGTGGTATTAATAAACATGTATTAATAAAAGAGATAAAAATGACGAATGTTTAACAAAGATTTATAAGAATATTGTTAAAAACTATTACAATTTGGAACCGAGTGTTGGATGAAATAAGTTTGCGAACATTATCCTTGTCAACCAGGAATAATCCGAATAATGTTAATAGTGCTTGAAAAATTGAGATGCCATTCTAAAATAATCCTTATATTTTTCTATGTTTTCGGTCAGCATTTCTTTCAAGATTTTCACTTGCTCTTTGCTTCAATCTTTTCTTGATGCTAAATACATCGTATCCAATATTTCTGTTGTTTCTTATTATTTTCATTTTTTACAATAATTATGTACAAGATATATAATTTTGCAATCTGACGATATACTTTTTGCTTGTTAAATATACATATATTTGGTTTTAAATTTAATAATCGGAAAATAATGATAAACAAATTTTGCGAATCCATATTTAGTCTGCTTTTTGTCGCTGCACTAGGATATATATGTATGTATGTATATGCGATTTCGATCCGCATTAGTTTATATTTCTACTGTCCCATACTGCGGAAATTGCAAAAATGTAATCTGTACGAGCCAATAATATACACTAATCTGAGCTATAGAATAGAAGGATCTTGCGACTGGCAGGCATCAATTACACTTTCGCGAGTCCCAGTCCGTGAAAATACATTTCAGCAAAGTGCAATTAACGGAATGTCTGCGATTGGACAAATTTCGTTCTACATTATGCATATATTCCGCGCATGAGATCGCACCATTACTCACGAGGCATAAATCATTTTCTAGAAAGTTTTATTCAAATAAGTTTCTTTTTGGGTTTCCTTCTTTTCAATAATTGAAAAATTAGACGAAATAGTAGAGTTTTACTTTTGTGTTTTACATCATATACTACGTTTACACGGTGATTTACGATGAAGTTATAACACCGATGTTATAACTATTGACGTTAGATGCTGATGTAAACGCTATTTTATGATGAAATTACTACATCGAGGTAGTAACTAGGTAGTAACTCAGGGTGCAGTCCCATGAAGCGGGTATCGCGCGTATCGAAAATCTGACTAATCGCGAACTTTAAAATAATGAATTCGACGGAACGGCTGAGTATCGAAAATAGCGGAACGTCCGCAATTGGTCGATACGCGTGTCCGCGATACGTGCGATACGCTCCATGGGACAGTACTCTCAAAGTCGTTTGATAAAGAGGCTTATGGCTCTCGCACACTGAACGCGACGAGCGAGGATATCCAATGAGCAATAGCCAATGAGAGATTTGCTTTTTCAAACGTCACGGATGGACGAATAAATACATGGTGCCATATGTATACATATATTACTAATCATAAGAAAAAATGTAACACATGTGACCAACAACTGCCACTTAGTATCATAATATTGTATTGTACAAAGTAATAGAAGCACTTGAAATACGATTTTCACACAGAATTTACCTAACAACAGCAACGTCAAAATGAAGATGAAGTTGTATCAAGATTTATACGTTGACTGAAAATGAAAAATTTAGTACTAGACGACGTTTTTATAGGTATTCTTACGTATATTAGACACAGTTAAATAAATATGTATGTTCTTATATAGGGTGCTCAAAAATAAAATATTAGTAGTGCGTCGAATTAACTATTTATTAGATAGTTTGCTCATTATCAAGAAAATATCAATGCGTTTATCAAAAGTATTGTCTTTTAAACAAAAATTCCGCAAATATAATATTCATAATGATATTCTCGGGTACCAAAACGTGGAAGATTAGAATGCATTTCTCTCTATAATTTCTCTTTTTTTTTGTTGTTGGATCAGTTGGGTCCGTTATTATCAATATTTATTCTTTTAAATTTTATTTCCTTATGTATTTTTCATCGCTAAAAACGAATTTGAAAAAATTTTTTGTTGGACATATTTTGATCGCCATCTTGAAAAACCTATATTCGTAAAGTTGAAGTCCATCTAAAAAAACACACACACACACACACACACACACACACACACACACAACGTAAACGCTGTCTCGTTCTCTGTTATCAGCCATATATATACTTATAATACATCTAATGATTTTGATAAATAAATATATCTAAATTTTCGCCTTACTAAATTAAAGTGCTACTATATATTTAGAAAATATATTTAGAAAAAAATGAGCAAAGACCTCTACCCAAGGTTTGTGTTCGCTGCTAAGATTGCAGTAGCTAACAAAGCACGGAGTTGTTATTTCGGCATATTTTCTACATTTTATATGATTTATTTATATTAAAAACTTGTATTAAAAACTTGATGGAACGCAAAATGTCATTGATCAGAATTCAAACTTGGTTCAAATTTTGAACCACGTTAGAGGAAATGGGCAATTCGGTATGCAAGCGCATGAAGATCGATAAAAATCACAGAAACAATTGAATCGTCCGTAATAATTATAAACCATCCGATCACGGTGAACATTACTTCGCGAATGGTCGCGCATGTCGAATGTCGACAACTCCGTAAATTTGATCTAAAACGCGCGCGTCGCAAAGGTGCGCAGGACGACGTGCACACAGCGCCAGCAAATTATTATATCCCTCACTACGCGACTTGCGTAACGTTTAGCGTGCACTATTCACCACGTTTGCTGCAACGTTTGCTGCGATTTCCGTGAGACTCCGAAAGATTCCGAAAACATTCGCACGATCAGTCGGTCGGTCGGTCAGTCGGTCGAACTTTTCGCGGGGGTGGCAAAGGGAAGTGATGCCCGTGGATATATTCGACTCACTCTGTCACTGCCAAACGATTGACGGAAGAAGAGAGAGAGAAATACGAATAGTGAAACTGCGCGCGCATGAAGGAGAGAAAGAGGCGGAGACAAAATAGCAATAGGTCAAACGCAGGCTAGACGCAGCGAACTTAAAAAAGAGATGTACGTCGTGTACGAGAGCACATCGAGTCGCGCGAGTATCAACCAGCTGATTGGCGAGGGAGTCGTGAGCAGTCGTCAATGAGACGCGGCAATTCGCGAGTGCGTGTGTCATTTTCTCGTTTGCTCACATCTCTTCGTACATCCGTACATCCATAGTGCGCGCGTATAGAGCGTGACACAGATTTCTCGTCGTCACTGTCGACTCCATTTCATTTATCTCCCTTACTCTCTAATTTCATTGTAAGACTGCCGCGCATACATATACGTTCGTTCCTTCCTTCTTTCCTTTCTTTTTTCGTCCGAGAGCGTACAAATCCGTCGTGCTTTTACTCGTGCCTAGTATCTCATTCTCGGATACGACACTTGCCCCCGCGAAGCGAGCATCGTCTGCTCCATCTATTTCATTTGCGTTTATCTTGCTCGCGCGCATTTGTCCGCAATTTTCCCTCTCTCTCTCTCTCTCTCTCTCTCTCTTCTCTCTCTCTCTCTCTCTCTCTCTCTCTTTCTTTTCTCCCCTCGCCCTTTCCTGCTTACTCCTCCTCCCATCGAGTAAGAGTAGCAAAAGAGAGGGTGCAAATACGTGTGGTGCGCGACTCCCGTGTGTACATTATCCGCTTGTGTTTGTATGCCGCGCTGGTACGCGTTGCGCTGCGCCCGTAATCTCCGTGGACGTGCGTGTGCACGCGCGCGCGCGTGCGCGCTGCTGTGAAGTGTACGTGGTGTGTGCGCGTGGTGTGTGTGAGTGTGTGTGTTGTGTGTGTGTAGCGTGTTACGTGCGCGCAACGAGCGAACCAAGATGGCCGCCGATTCAGGAATGGAGACGTGTCCCTCCCCGGAGATTGCGGACTCCAGAAAGCGGCCGCTCGACTGCGACGCAGAGAACGGCGCGACCAAAAGGTCGCACTACGGATCAGGTATTTTCGATCGGATGTCGTCGATGTTGCGCATCATCGTCATCGGCGGTGCCATCGCGGAATCGCGGAATGGATTCTGCTCGTCCACTCGCTCGTTCGCTCGCCGTCGCGGTCGCCGTGGTTATCGTCGTCATCGGAATCGGAGCCTAGTCTGCTCTCATTCGTGTAACATTCGCGTGATAAACGATATGTCTAGAAAGAATATTCGTTTCTTTCTCTTTCTTTTTCTCTGTCCATTGCTCCGTTTTTTTCTCGTATTTCGCACACACTTTTGAGGATCCTGACGACGTCGTCGTCATCATCGTCGTCGTCGTCGTCGTCGTCGTCGTCGTCGTCGTCGTCGTCGTCGTCGTCGTCGTCGTCGTCGTCGTCGTCGTCGTCGTCGTCGTCGTCGTCGTCGTCGTCGTCGTCGTTCGTCGTT